ATATATATATATATATATATATATTCATATATATATATATATATATTCATATATATATTCATATATATATTCATATATATATATATATTCATATATTCATATATATATATATATATATATATATATATATATATATATTCATATATATATATTCATATATATATATATATATATATATATATATATATTCATATATATATATGAATATATATATATGAATATATATATATATATTCATATATATATATATATATATATGTATGAATATATATATATATATATGAATATATATATATATATGAATATATATATATATATATATGAATATATATATATATATATAAAAAAAAAATTGTCCACTCACCTTTGGCCCTCCGCGGGCGGTTATCCCTCTCTAAGCTCGGGTCCTCTACCAGAGGCCAGGGAGCTTGAGGGTTCTGCGCAGTATCTTTGCTGTTCCTAGCACTGCACATTTCTGGACCGAGATGTCCGAGGTTGTTCCGGGGATCCGCTGTAACCACTCTTCTAGCTTCGGGGTCACTGCCCCGAGTGCACCGATCACCACGGGCACTACTGTCACCTTTACCCTCCAGGCCCTCTCCAGCTCCTCTCTGAGACCTTGGTATTTCTCAAGCTGTTGGATGTTACCATCGCTTGGAATTGCCACGTCCACCACCACGGCTGTCCTCTGCCCTTTGTCCACCACCACGATGTCAGGTTGGTTTGCCATTACCATTCGCTCGGTCTGTATCTGGAAGTCCCACAGGATCTTTGCACGCTCATTCTCCGCCACCTTTGGAGGAGTTTCCCACTTAGACCTTGGGGTTTCCAGCCCATACTCTGCACAGATGTTTCTGTACACTATGCCAGCCACTTGGTTATGGCGTTCCATGTAGGCCTTCCCTGCCAGCATCTTGCACCCTGCAGTTATGTGTTGGATCGTCTCAGGTGCCTCTTTGCACAACCGACACCTTGGGTCTTGTCTGGTGTGGTATATCTGGGCCTCTATCGCTCTGGTGCTCAGTGCCTGTTCCTCTGCAGCCATGATGAGTGCCTCTGTGCTGTCCTGTAGGCCAGCCCTTTCTAGCCATTGGTAGGACTTCTTGAGATCAGCCACTTCTGTTATGCTCCGGTGGTACATGCCGTGTAGGGGCTTGTTCTCCCATGATGGGCTCTCCTCCAGCACCTCCTCATCTCGCCACTGCCTGAGACATTCACTGAGTACGTCATTCGTTTTGGCCTTCTCCATGATGTAGTTATGGAGTTTGGATGTTTCGTCCTGGACAGTGGCTCTCACACTCACTAGTCCTCGGCCTCCTTCTTTACGGCTTACGTACAGTCTCAGGGTGCTGGATTTGGGATGGAACCCGCCATGCATGGTAAGGAGCTTTCGAGTTTTAACATCCGTGGTCTGAATCGCTTCCTTTGGCCACCTGATTATTCCTGCAGGGTATCTGATCACTGGCAGGGCGTAGCTGTTAATTGCCCGGGCCTTGTTCTTGCCATTGAGCCGGCTTCTTAGGACCTGCCTTACTCGCTGGAGGTATTTGGCAGTTCCCGCTTTCCTCGTCACCTGTTCGAGGTTGCCATTTGCCTGTGGTATACCGAGATACTTGTAACTGTCCTCAACGTCTGCTATTGTTCCCTCTGGGAGTGAGATCCCTTCTGTGTGGACTACCTTGCCTCTCCGAGTCACCATCCTGCTACATTTCTCGAGCCCGAATGACATGCCGATGTCATGGCTGTAGATCCTGGTTGTTTGGATCAGAGAGTCGATGTCTCTCTCGCTCTTGGCGTACAGCTTGATGTCATCCATGTAGAGGAGGTGACTGATCTTTGCTCCGTTCCTGAGGCGGTATCCATAGCCAGTCTGGTCAATTACTTGGCTTAGAGGGTTGAGGCCTATGCAGAACAGTAGTGGGGACAGAGCATCTCCTTGGTAGATACCACATTTGATGGTCACTTGTGCGAGCGGCTTGCCATTTGCCTCAAGGGTGGTCTTCCACATTCCCATCGAGTTTGCAACGAAGTCCCTTAGAGCCCTGTTGATATTGTACAACTTCAAGCATTCCATGATCCATGTGTGTGGCATTGAGTCGTAGGCTTTCTGGTAATCAATCCAGGCTGTGCACAGGTTGGTGTGTCGTGACCGGCAGTCTTGGGCGACTGTTCTGTCAACCAGGAGCTGGTGTTTGGCTCCTCTGGTGTCCCTACCAATGCCCTTCTGTGCTGTGCTCATGAATTGTTCCATATGCCCACTTATCTTAGCCGCAATGATGCCTGACATGAGCTTCCATGTTGTGGAGAGACAGGTTATTGGCCGGTAGTTGGAGGGGACTGCACCCTTGACAGGGTCCTTCATGATCAGGACCGTTCGCCCTTCGGTTAGCCATTCTGGGTGAGTCCCATCTCTCAGCAGCTGGTTCATTTGTGCTGCTAGGCGCTCATGGAGTGATGTGAGTGTCCTTAGCCAGTAGGCATGGACCATATCAGGGCCAGGTGCTGTCCAGTTTTTCATACCTGAGACTCTTTCTCGGATGTCTGCCTCTGTGATGGTAACTGAGTTCTGTTCTGGGAGGTGGCTGTGCTCCTCTCTCAGGGACACCAGCCATTGTGCACTTCTGTTATGTGCTGCATCCTTCTCCCATATGTTCTTCCAGAACTGTTCAATTTCCAGCCTCGGTGGGTCTGCTCCCCTGTTGTTACCCTGCCACTGAGCGTACACCTTCGCAGGTTGTGTCGCGAACAGCTTGTTCACCCTTCTGGCTTCATTCTCTTTAGTGTACCTCTGTAGGCGGCTGGCCAGGGCTTGGAGCCTTTGTTTGGCAGTTTCGAGTGCTTCAGGTATGGTCATCTGGCTGTACTTTCTGGGTACTGGTCTTTTCATTGCACCTCTCTGGGCCTCTGTTAATTGACTCACTTCTCTCCGAGCCGCCTTGATCTTAGCCTCCAACCGTCTTTTCCATGGTGGGTATTGTCCATGGCTCCCATGGTTGCTCTTATAGCCAAGCATCTCTAGGATCACTGCTGCTGAAGTGTATATCAGCTCATTGGTTTCAGTGATTGTGGTGGTAGGTATTGCCCTCACTGCTGCATTCACGCTTTCTATGAGACCCTTAGGTGGTACTTCACACAACCGCTGTAACCGGTATCTTTGCCCTGTGCCCATTCTAGCCATGATCTTAGCTTTCAGGTCAGTCGCTGCCTCGTTCAGCGTTATCGGTTCCATTGGGGCTATGTACCCAATCACAGCTTGAGATATATATATATATATATATATATACACATATATTTATATATATATATATATATATATATATATATATATTATATATATATATATTATATATATATATATTATATATACATACATATACATACATACATACATACATACATACATACATACATACATACATACATACATACATACATACATACATACATACATACATACATACATACATACATACATACATACATACATACATACATACATACATACATACATACATACATACATACATACATACATACATACATACATACATACATACATACATACATACATACATACATACATACATACATACATACATACATACATACATACATACATACATACATACATACATACATACATACATACATACATACATACATATATATACATATATATATACATATATATATACATATATGCAATACAAAGCTCACGATGACCATCATCAATATATTGTTCAAAAATATACTGTTACAGTAAAGTAATCTGAAAAAACACTAAATAGTTTTAAGTGTAAGTTTTAACTAATTTTCAACTCTGGATTCAAATACAGCACATATTGGCATAAAGAAAAAGTGAAAAATACACTTTATTTCATGATAAATGGTTTGGAGATGTGTAATGTAGCCATATATTAAGTATTGATACTGTCCGTCCATTTTCTTTCCCTTAAAGCTGCACTAACTCACTTTATTGTTGTATTCATGAGTTAAAGTCTATCCATGTGCTTTGGGATAAACGTCCTTTTGAAGAGAAAGTATCGCAGGTTTGTGCGGGCGTGACATTATATTTTAGATCGAGTTTTGATGAAACAAGGAAGAGATGTGTTTCGGGTCTCAGATTGTGACCAATCACAGCGCACCACTGGCCCCCACTTTCGTGAGAAATCTACAGGTCCGTTAGCATAGACGGCAGAGTTACCACAACAAGCGGCGGAGCTAACCTGAAGCTTCCTTGTGACAGCCATCCAAAAGAAAGTCCTGTTCCTCCGCGCTTCCCGGTTCTATCGTTCTATGGTCACGCCATCCACGTGCAAATCCATATCCATGTATTATCCATATTGGGAGACGCTAGCTCCGTCAACAACAGTGGGTGTGTGTGGGGGGCGATGGGTTTGTGGGTGCGGGGAGGGGAGCGAGTCCGCGGCTTCAAACTCCCAAAGTCAGTTAGTTCAGCTTTAATCCATGTCTGGGTCGGGGGTGGCAGTCAGAGCTGGTCCCAGTACACAGAGCACCAGTCCTTCACTGATTGATCCTCCTCCTGCTCCTCCTGGTCCTCACTGATCCTCCTGCTCCTCCTGCTCCTCACTGATCCTCCTGCTCTTCCTGGTCCTCACTGATCCTCCTGCAGGTGCTGAGTCCACAGGAACTGAGATCTTTCAGCGGGGGCTGAAAGTATTGATACCAATTTAAAAATATATATATATATTAAAAAAATATATATATATATATATATTTTTTAATCGATATTTGGCAAAAGCATATCGATAATTGATGGCGTGAGAAAGTATCACAATACATATATACATATATATATATATATATATATATAAATACATTTATTAATGTGATTTTCAAAAGATTTAGCTTTTTTCCGACTCTGAACTGATACAAACTCGACTCATGTCAGTGTTGGTCTGTTATATTAGACATATGAGGACCACAAACACACTGAGGACCACAAACACACAGTGAGGACCAAAAAAACACTGTGAGGATCACAAACACACTGTGAGGACCACAAACACACTGAGGACCACAAACACACTGACATACGAGGACCACAAACACACTGTTGAGGACCACAAACACACTGTGAGGACCACAAACACACTGTGAGGACCACAAACACACTGAGGACCACAAACACACTGACATATGAGGACCACAAACACACTGACATATGAGGACCACAAACACACTGTGAGGACCACAAACACACTGGCATATGAGGACCACAAACACACTGTGAGGACCACAAACACACTGTTGAGGACCACAAACACACTGTGAGGACCACAAAAACACTGAGGATCACAAACACACTGTGAGGACCGCAAACACACTGACATATGAGGACCACAAACACACTGTGAGGACCACAAACACACTGACATATGAGGACCACAAACACACTGTCAGATTCAGATTCAGATTCAGATTCATTTATTTGCCATTTGCAGTAAAACCACATTGGAAAACTGTGCAAGACTACCCCGGTGTGCGCCAGACAGAGAAGACGACACACACCAGAGCTCTTGCCACGGCGCCATCTTTCCGGCGCCATGCGACAAACAGTAGAATAAACAGCAGAGAGCAATAACATACAGATTACACAGACAGTTGGATAGACACATTGTGCTTTGAATAAAGCACGGATTTTTTTCTCGGGATGAGCCCTCCGACTGCCGGCCCAATGTGGCTGTCAGAGGGGGGCGGGGTCAGGGAGGGGGTGAGTCGGAAACACAATGAGGAGTGGAGGGGAGGGAGGGAGCAAGATGGATAGGTAGAGGGAGGCGGGGGTGAGGGATCCGAGCTGGAGACTGAAGACTGAATAGTGTGAGTTGTTGTAGATAGTCCGGACTTGTTATTATGGCCTTGGCCGAGGAATGTGAGATAAGAGTGGAGAGAAGACACAGCTGGAGAAAAACACATCGCCTGTGAAGAGGGACAATATTATATGCAATGTCGCAGTCAAAAACAGGCAGATATTCTATTAAATCCAATTAAACCGAATTGCGGCGCCCTCAGACCTCCGTACACAGGGGCAAATCCAAGCCGGGTCAGAGAGTTCAAGCCTGACAAACAATGTCATTCAATCTCAATTCCAGAGTTTTATGCCCATCGAGTGAACGAGCTGCGAGATCTTTGATCAACTGTTCCACCAACACCACTCTCCGTTGTCCAGCCACGGCGCTCTCAACCACGACTCGGTTAAGCTCCTTGTACATCCCATCAATTTTGTTGGCCAGCAGGTCGTGAATCTTGCGAACTGCCATGCCTCCGAATTTGTGGTAGAAGAGAACCGCTCCAATCCCAAACAGGAGGATTCCCACCACCAAAATGCCAAAGATATATACGTCTTCCGAATCTTCAATAGACAGGGTCGACAGACAGAGGGGCTGAAACTTGTTCCAGCTATCAAGCGTATACCCCGCTGGTGAAGTCCCGTCCGGGCACACGGGCTCTCCAGACCCACGCTTACGTGTTGAAAAGATAGAATCAATTGCGTTGAGGGACCAATTAATCATTTCCATTCTTGCTTAAAGTTGCTTAAAGTTGTCTGTGGCAAAACTCCAGGAAAAAGACAAAAAACAGGAGATAGCAAGCAGTCAGAAGCAGGAGCGTCTGAGACACGTCTTTGCTCGACGGAGGCGGAAGAGAAAAAAAAAAAAAAAAAAAAAAAAAAAAAAAAAAATTTTTTACATATATATATATATTATACATATTATACATATATATTATACATATTATACATATATATATATATATATATATATATATATATATATATATATATATATATATATATATATATATATATATATATATATATAACAATATACATATATATACATATATATATATATATATATATATATATATATATATATATATATATATCAAGCGTATACCCCGCTGGTGAAGTCCCGTCCGGGCACACGGGCTCTCCAGACCCACGCTTACGTGTTGAAAAGATAGAATCAATTGCGTTGAGGGACCAATTAATCATTTCCATTCTTGCTTAAAGTTGCTTAAAGTTGTCTGTGGCAAAACTCCAGGAAGAAGACAAAAAACAGGAGATAGCAAGCAGTCAGAAGCAGGAGCGTCTGAGACACGTCTTTGCTCGACGGAGGCGGAAGAGAAAAAAAAAAAAAAAAAAAAAAAAAAAAAAAAAAAATTATACATATATATATATATATATATATTATACATATTATACATATATATTATACATATTATACATATTATACATATATATTATACATATTATACATATATATATATATATATATATACATATATACATATACATATATATACATATATATATATATATATATATAATATATATGTATAATATGTATAATATATATATATATATGTATAATATGTATATTATATATATGTGTGTTTGTGAGGACCACAAACACACTGTGAGGACCACAAACACACTGTGAGGACCACAAACACACTGAAGACCACAAACACACTGACATGTGAAGACCACTGCTGTTCGTTTCTCATTCGAAATTGATAAAAATCTGGAAAGGTTTGTGTCTTCAGAGTTCATGAACCATGTGGCATTACACCATGTGCTTCATTTGAGGCAAAATGTCTGTGTCCAGAGCTGAATGAGACCGTGCTCTGCTCCAACGACCTCATGGAGCTGATCCTCCCGAGCGCGTTCTTCCTCCGCAAGACACCTCCAGTTTATGTGAGTGACACACACATACAGAGGCTCCTCCCACACAGAGGCTCCTCCTGTACAGAAGCCCCTCCCACAGACACAGAGGCCCCTCCCACATATACAGAGGCCCCTCCCACAGATACAGAGGCTCCTCCCCTGTGTAAATGTGTGTGTGTGTGTGTCTGTGTGTGTCTGCGTGTGTGTGTGTGTGTGTGTGTGTGTGTAGGTCTGGGACTTGCACCTTAATGACCCTGAGTGTCGCGGTGAAGAGATCGGAGATGAGTTTGTCTTCAGCATCAGAACCAACCTGTCGGACTGTGGCACTGTGGTGGTGAGAGAACACTTGTGTACACCTGTATACACCTGTATGCACCCGAAAGCACCAGAGCCTATATCATAGACTGTATATATTAACGGATTTAGTCACGCCTATCTCCGCCGTTCTAACTAATGGGCCAAAAATTGGGCGTTCATGGAGGGATTCAAAATGGCCACAGGGGCTGGAAAATGTAAAAAAACACATCTGTGCATGCGTCAGCTGCACAAGCTCCATTCATTTAAACGAGTGACTTCTAAAGTCCACAGCGACTAAACTAGACTGGTCCAGAACACTCCCCTCAGCATTGACACACATGTGGAACGGAGCTTTGGGCCAAGAAACAACTTTTGGACCATCCTGTAAAGACGTTTTCCAGAGGTAAGAAGATGCTATATGTTAGCATTGGCTAATTCTTATTCGGGGTCCACCCCCACAGGCCCGGGGTGGTATTGCAGCATGTCAGCGCACGTCATTTTGGCCACTTTTGAGCCGGAACCCGCCCCCACTGGGTATATACAGACGCTAACCCGCTAGCTCACTGAATTCCAATAGGGAAGTGCTCATGGAGAAGTTTGGCTCCTCTCTCTGGCTCCTATTGACTTCCATGTAAACTCCTCAGTAAAGTTTGTGTGACATCACATTTTGGGATTGAATCTGTGGTTTTCTGTGATGCTGTGAATCCACCATGACCATATAAGGACCGACCAATCAGAGCCTCTGATTCGAGACCTGATGCTCCTGAAGTTCAGATGCAATTATTTTTCATTTGTTTAAATGTTTGAGAAACTTGTTCACATCTTAAGATATAGCCTGGTCTTTCTCTCAGTCCTGATTTTGGTCTTGGTCTGGGTCTTTCTCTTGGTCCTGGTCCTGGTCCTGATCCTGATCCTGGTCCGGGTCATGGTTCTTGTCCTGGTCCTGGGCCTGGCCTTGGTGCTGGTCCTGCTGCTCCTGGTCTTGGTCTTGGTCCTGGTCCTGGTCTGTAGAATAGTTCTTTCAGACAGAAAAGTGCACAGAGAGTACCACCCCCAATCGTCCAATCAGCTCTCAGCTCACAGAGGCAGATTGTGACAAACAGGGATCTCCCTCACACGTGTGCTCATAAACTGGACTCCTCCTGGTCCTCGCTGTGTCTCAGTCCCTCCTCGCTTTGACCTCTGACCTTCACAAGTGAACCACACAAAGATGGC